AATGCAGTATTATAATTATATATATAATTATATAATATATGTATTTCTGTCTGCATATATACAGTCGTGGACAAAATTGTTGGTACTCCTCTGGTAAGGAAAGAAAAATCGACAATGGTCACTGAAATAACTTGAAACCAAGAAAAGCAATAATAAATAAACATTTCCTGACAAATAACCACTGAAAATCAGACACTGTTTTGTTGTTCAACAGAATTATTAAAAAAAAAAAAAAAAAAAAAAAAAGGGTTAAAAGGGTTAGGGTTAGGGTTAGGGTTTAAACCTAATGAAACTGGCCTGGACAAAAATGGCATATTAATCTCTAATCTGCATCACAGGTGTCTTCAAACTTGTCCTCAGTCAGTCTGCCTGTTTAAAGGGAGACCTGTGTCATTTTGCTGTTTGGAGACATGATGGAGACAACACTGAAGACTAGAAAGAAAATTATAGACAAGCAGGTTAAAGATAAAGAAAATAAGACCATCTCCAAGCAGATTGATGTTCCTGTGATTACAGATGCATAGGTTAATCAGTAGTTTAAGGTCCACAGGACTGTAGCAACCTCCCTGGATGTGGCTGCAAGAGGAAAATTGATGAGATTGAATTGAAGAGATGGATCATATGAATGGAACCAAGGAGCCCAGAACAACTTCCAAAGAAATTAAATGTGAACTTGAAGGACAAAGTACATCAGTGTCAGATCGCACCTCCAGCTGTCTGGAGGAGGAACCCTTCATACCAGAGACAACAACCAGGTAGATTTGCACATCATCTGCATAACTGTGATGAGCAACATTGTGCCTTTCAAATATTGACCCAAAAGGAAACATATAAAGGCCAAATAAAGCAGGGCCCAATATATTTCCTTGGGCACACACCACTTTAACTCGGACACCACAGAGGTGAACTGCCCTAACTGAACAGAAAAGGTCCTGTCTGTTAGATAGGACTGAAACAATTTCAGTGTGGTGCCCCTGATGCCCATTTGTTCTAGACAAGCCAAGAGGATGGCATGGTCCACTGAATCGAAAACTGCAGTTAAATCCAAAAGCACTAGTGCAGAAGATTGGCCAGAATCAGGGATTAAAAGCAAATCATTAAAAACCTTTAAAAGAGCAGTTTCTGTGCTGTGCTTGGAAAGGAGATTTCAACACAGCTCCTTCTTCCCCATAACAGCTCAACAACATCATCTGTAAACAGCAGGAATGAGATCTTGTGGTTCCCAAACTGGGCCTCCTCTGGCCCCTGACTGTGCCTAAAAATTATGTCCATAGAAACAATAAACAGAAAGAACTAGTCACAAAGGGCAACCCTGGTGGAGTCCAGCACTGGGACCACATCTACTTTACTCCCAGCAGTCCAAAACCCAACTGCTGCTCCATCCAAGGACTGGACAGCCCTTTGCAACAGGTCCTGGACCCCATTCTCCCACAGAACCTCCCACAGGACAAGTGCTGATATCCATCAACTGCCTTAGGAGTCCCAAAACCAACAAGGTTTGATAGGATTCCTTCTTGAGGCTGATGGCATCCCTTACTTTTGGCATCCACCACTAGCTTCAGGGATTACCGCTGCAGCAAGCACCAGAGACATGACCACAGCTACAAACAGCTGCACTGACATTGGAGGTCAGATGACATAATAATAACAATGTCGATCATTGACCTCCAGCCTAAGGAGTCCTGGTACCACATGGACTGAAGGATGGTGTTTGTTATGGATAAATCAGTTTGCCCAGAAGTCCATTAACAGAACACCACTCCGGTTCAGGTCAGAGATGATGTTTTTCCTGATCAGCCCTCGCCATGTGCCACTGTGGTTGCCCACATGGGCATTGAAGTCCTCCAGTAAAACAATGGAGTAGTCCAACAAGATTCAAGATTCATTGGGTCTTTCAATAATTTGTATTATTAGGTTCCTTTTTCAGATCAAGAGTTTGTTTTCATACCTGACAGTTTTGGCTGCTCAGTAGCAGTGTTCCTCGGAGTGGTCACATGATGTTGTTATGATGTGTCCAGTCAGCTGATTTATACAAGCTTTGGACAGAATGCGAGAAGGAAAAAGTGAAGGTGTGTACACAAGCAACAAAACACAAAGCAGAGCAGGAACAACTCAACAAATTGACCATTTGTGACCACTGTAAAAGAGAGAACCACGTTATGGGCTGAGATGGAGCAAACATCACTGGGACAGAGAACAACAAATGGAAACATGCCAACAGCACTATAAACTGGGACAAGGGGACTTTTTTACTCTCACACATCTGGGATACTGTCCTGAGGAAGTCAGACTGCAGATGGTGCTGTCATCCTGCCTCCACCGGCAGGAAGACAATGTCAAAACCTGTATAAATCAGCTGACCAGAAATATCACAGCAACATCACGTGACTACTCTGAGGATGACCGCTAGTAAACATTTGAAACTGCCATATATGAAAATAAACTCTAGGTCTCAAACTAAGAACCTAGTAACATAGAACACTGGCGTCCTTGTTCGGTGCATTTTCCAGTAGTCTTCCAGGGACTACAAAAAGGCCGGCTTTCCTGTAGACGTAACAGTGAGAGGCGACCCAAAGGCACCCTCTCATTCACTGGAATGAACTCTAAGGCACCTGGGCTGTATCTGCTGGGAGACAAAACCTGTGCAAGACTGATTTTCACCATCTAGAAAGAACCTCACATACCAACAATGAAAATGTGGAAGGAAAGAATGGTGGATAATTTAAGAGGTGGCAAGGGGATGCTGAAAAGTTTAAGTTTATATGTTTACAACTTTTTTTTACTCATTGTTTTTGTTTTCTACTTCTGTTATGTATTTTATTTAGTCTTGCTCATTTGTTAATATATTAAAAATCCATAAATATTGAAAAAAACTTTTTTGGAGGTGCAAGATATAACGCAGTGTCCACCAGCATTCTGACCAGAACTGAAAATGCAGCTTGGATGAGCTGCAAAACATTTTAGACCTATATAAACATTTGTCCAATTGACAAATTGAGTTTCAGATCAAATATTATTTTAGATAAAAGACTTGGTAGTCAAGCCCTACAACAGGATCTCTCTTAAACATGATAACTTCATCCAACGCTGTGCTCTGGTGTTGTGGTGGCAAATCAGGAACAAATGATAAGAATGTTTCATGAATGAATCCCAATGTGTTTTATACCAAGGAATGAAGTTATCATACAGGTAAGTTGGACTCAAATGCAACACAATGCATACAGGCAAACAAAGCAAGCCAAACCCTTCAGAAAGATCAGAGTCATCTTCCAGATGAACAGAATGAGAACTACTGCCAGACACATGTTCTTTGCCCTCAGATGCGTCTTGCAGGGAAGCAGAAGGGACCGGACAGGAACCTAAACAGCCCTTTGAAGGTTGATCTGGATGTTGCTTGTGGAGAGCCTTAATAAGAATATAGTCCAAGATAAAACTGGCAGGCACCCATGAACACTCTTCTGGACTATAGCCTTTCCAGTCAACCAAGTATTGGAGACCTCAACCATGACGTCTAGAGCACAGGAGGCGACGCAGTGTACACACAGGTTTCCCATCAATCAGGCCTGTCAGTAGAGGTGGAGGCAATACAGGAGCAAGAGGACTTTCACAGACTGGCTTCAACCTTGACACATGGAAAGTTGGATTGTGGGTAGCTTGAGGCGGGCAGCCACTGGGTTGACCATCTTGTCCATTTCAAAGGGACCAGTGAATTTTGGTGCCAGCTTCTTTGAATCTACCCGGAGTGGAAGATCCTGTGCATGTAAACACACGCATTATAAACAATACGCACCAGATCAAATATAACATGCCTGCATACTGGCACGCTGTCACTGTTCTGTCCTTGCACTGGTTGTTGTTGAGTTTTGGCACTGGGGACGCACACGGAATAGAAGTAGATCTGAATCTCCTACTGTTTTTGAAATAAAGACAGGAGGAGCGTGATGATGATAATATCCTAAAGGAGAACAGAACTTTCAGTGCTTTAAAATAGTAACTGTTAGTAATAAAAAAGCTGTATTTTATTAATTTAATTTTCAATGTTTTAAGAGTAATTTCAATAAATAGTAAATGCCGTGGGACTTGAAACAGATATTTTGTTGTAATGCTTTGTAAAGGTTTTCAATTGAAATTCAAGCACAGGTTTTCTATATATCCCATGATATTTTTTTCTCTCCACTCCATCCATCTGCTCCTGGTCCAGCCCTTCCATCAAATTTTAGAACCCTTTGTGGCCCACGAGCCAAAATGTTTGCCCACCCCTGGTTTAATGTATTCTGATTCCTGACCTAGTTGCTGGAGAGAAATGAAAATGAGTGGATGCACGAGGTGGCGCCAGCCTGGCTACTTGTACACAGGATCAGAGATAAAACTTTTAGAAAATACTTTATTTTGGGAAAGCACTTCATTAATAAATTATTTTCATAATCTTTTTTTTTTTTTTTTGAATACACAATATATTTTTGAGCAGTACATGGGCAAATGCGCAGCAGAGCAAGGGTATTCACTGAAAGCCAAGAATACATTTGTTTTCTTTCTAGCATCAGAAACATGGCAAGTGTCAATGAAAGCTGAGGGGATTTAGAGCCCAAGCTGTCTGAGTGAAGCTGGTTGCATCATTTTAGTTCTTACATGTTAACAACTGTTTTTAGATTTTCCTCACTGTATATGTTAAAAGTCAATAAATATTGAAAAAAAAATGAAATGGTTAAACTATTGGCTCACTCTTGCATAATATGCTGTCTCATTATTGAAAAAATGTAAACATGTGACCCACAGTGATCCCAAGACATCATTAAATCCTATAAATAATCTGTTGTGGAGACACCTGTTCAAATGTCAAAGGAACCATCAGGTAATGAAATCTTTTATAACAATGTGCATTATATTGGTAGTTCATACTCTCAAACAGCATTAAATTACTGAAGTTAAAAGTATTTTCTGTATTCTCCTCCCACTAATTAATGTTTTGGTATTTTGTTTTTTTTTTCAGAACATTTTGCATGAATTTCTCCAGCTCTGGCAGTAACTCTACTCCCGTGGTCGTGAGGGACGATCTGAAGACTGCAATTATGAAGAACATGATCACTGTGACTCTCTGTGTGTCCATCAACTACGTTAATGCTACTCTGGTTTATACCTTCATGAGGCACGAGGTCAGAGAGAGTTTGTTGTTAAAAAGATGCATTTGAATACGTTTTTTTAAAAACTAAATCCAATAACCAGTGTCTGCTAAATCTGTTTTAAGGTATTTACAGATGTTGTTACATAAAATTTTCGGTCAAGATTATTGAGCTAATTTAATTAATGGATTTATTTTAATTAGGACAGTACAGACTAATCAATGTGTTAACACGCAGCTTCAGGATAAATATGGAGTTAGGACAATAGCTATTTTTTATCCGTTGTGAGCTGAAAAAGGAAACATAATGCTTTCTGACCACATTATTGCTTAAAAAAAAATATTATATGTCTGCATCATGCCATTTGCCCCTTTGACACCATAAGATACTCACCCACACAACACATTCATACACAGGTACATGATTAGCATACAGCAACAGTATTCACCACTCTGCACTAGGTTTAAATGGCTGCCATTGGGTTGTACGTTGTTTAGATATATTTACTTGGAGTGCCTGAAATTCTTCATTTTAAGATATTGATGTTTTTTCTTCCAGCATAAACTACTTGTCAATGTTAGTAATAATCCCATATTGGCAATTTTTTGCTTGCAATAAATGATATTTGAATGAATTATCAAAAGTCTAAAACTATTTTAAAATGTCTAGAAAAATCTAGTAACACAGAGAACTGGGAGTCATGAAAACAAACATTAATTTTGCATTGTAAAGAAATACACAATTAACTAAAACTTTTTTTGTTTTGTTTTGTTTTCCAGTTTTTCAAAAGGAATCCTCGCTATATCCTCTTCATTCACCTGGTCATCAATGACATTATCTTAATGACAGTCCTGACACTCATTCAAGTCTTGAGCTACGTAGTTTACACTCTCCATGTGTGGTTATGCATGACTTTACTTATATTTGCTTTATTTTCTAATTTTAACAACCCTATGACTCTTGCCGTCATGGCCATTGAGTGCTATGTTGCTGTGTGTTTCCCTCTGAGACACTCACAGATCATTACAGTTAAGAAAACCTACATTACTATTGCCTTAATTTGGCTGATAAGTGCACAGTCTTTTTTTCCAGATGTTCTTGTGTCTTTAACCACAGAACATCTTGACTTTTTTCAGTCTCGAGTATTTTGTCAAAATACAACGGTTTTCAGAATTCCTGGCATACTACTAAAGAATATTATCTACAATGCTGTATTAATGGCCACTGTGTGGCTGACTCTTATCTACACATATTTCAAAATACTTTTTACAGCAAAATCAGCTTCATCTGATGCCACAAAGGCCAGAAACACAGTTCTGCTTCATAGTTTCCAGCTAAGTCTCTCCATGCTCACATATATGTACACTCCACTTACAACAGGACTGACATATTTGTTTCCTCAGAGTGTGCTCGCTATTCGCTTTGCTGTGATCATAATAGTCAGTGTGATGCCACGGCTTGTCAGTCCACTTGTTTACGGGATACGAGATAAAACCTTCAGGAAGTACTTAAAAAAACATTTGTTTTATGAGAAAAAAAGAAAGTTAACTAAATAATAAATTATAAGTTCTAAGCAAGTTATATGCAAGATTCTTTGGACTAAAAAGGTATTAGCATATTTCATAATTTAATGTGGTTAGTCAGTCAGACGCACAGAAAGTCATAAAACTAAAAACTTAAATTGTAATTTTACACTTTTATTAAGACATGTGTTTCAAAATATCTAAATTTTAAGAAAAAAAAAAAAAATCAACATTAAAGTCCATCCATCCATCCATCCATTTTCGTCCGCTTATCCGGGGCCGGGTCGCGGGGGCAGCAGCCTAAGCAGGGACTCCCAGACTTCCTTCACCCCAGACACGTCCTCCAGCTCCTCCCGGGGGACCCCGAGGCGTTCCCAGGCCAGCCGAGAGACATAGTCCCTCCAGCGTGTCCTGGGTCTTCCCCGTGGCCTCCTCCCAGTGGGACATGCCCAGAACACCTCCCGAGGGAGGCGCCCAGGAGGCACCTGGAACAGATGCCCAAGCCACCTCAACTGGCTCCTCTCGATGTGGAGGAGCAGCGGCTCTACTCCGAGCTCCTCCCGTGTGACTGAGCTCCTCACCCTATCTCTAAGGGAGCGCCCAGCCACCCTGCGGAGGAAACTCATTTCGAGCGCTTGTATCTGCGATCTCGTCCTTTCGGTCACTACCCAGAGCTCATGACCATAGGTGAGAGTAGGAACGAAGACTGACCGGTAAATCGAGAGCTTCGCCTTTCGGCTTAGCTCCCTCTTCATCACAACGGTCCAATACAGCGACCGCATCACTGCCGAAGCTGCACCGATCCGCCTGTCAATCTCCTGTTCCGTCCTTCCCTCAGTCGTGAACAAGACCCCGAGATACTTGAACTCCTCCACTTGAGGCAAAGACTCCCCACCCACCCGGAGAGGGCAAGCCACCTTTTTCCGGTCGAGAACCATGGCCTCAGACTTAGAAGAGCTGATCCTCATCCCAGCCGCTTCACACTCGGCTGCAAACCGCCCCAGTGCACACTGCAGGTCCTGGCTCGATGAAGCCAACAGGACAACATCATCCGCAAACAGCAGAGATGAGATCCTGTGGTCCCCAAACCGGACCCCCTCCGGCCCCTGACTGCGCCTAGAAATTCTGTCCATAAATACAATGAACAGAACCGGTGACAAAGGGCAGCCCTGGCGGAGTCCAACACGCACCGGGAACAGGTCTGACTTACTGCCGGCAATGCGAACACAGCTCCTGCTCCGGTCATACAGGGACCGGACAGCCCTTAGCAAAGGGCCCCGGACCCCATACTCCCAGAGCACCCCCCACAGGACACCACGAGGGACACGGTCGAATGCCTTCTCCAAGTCCACAAAGCACATGTGGACTGGTTGGGCAAACTCCCATGAACCCTCGAGCACCCTATGGAGAGTGTAGAGCTGGTTCAGTGTTCCACGGCCAGGACGAAAACCACACTGCTCTTCCTGGATCTGAGGTTCGACTATCGGCCGGATTCTCCTCTCCAGTACCATGGCATAGACCTTACCGGGAAGGCTGAGGAGTGTGATCCCCCTATAGTTGGAACACACCCTCCGGTCCCCCTTCTTATACAGAGGGACCACCACCCCGGTTTGCCAGTCCAGAGGTACTGTCCCCGACCGCCACGCGATGTTGAAGAGACGTGTCAGCCAAGACAGCCCCACAACATCCAGAGACTTAAGGTACTCAGGACGGATCTCATCCAATCCCGGAGCCTTGCCACCAAGGAGCTTTCCAACCACCTCAGTGACTTCAGCCAGGGTGATGGATGAGTCCGCCTCCGAGTCCCCAGCCTCGGCCTCCTCCTCCGTGACGGTGGGATTGAGGAGATCCTCAAAGTATTCCTTCCGCCGCCGGACAACGTCCCCAGTCGAGGTCAGCAGCTCTCCCCCCGCACTGTAAACAGTGTTGGTGAAGAACTTCTTCCCCCTCCTGAGGCGCCGGACGGTTTGCCAGAATCTCTTTGAGGCCGTCCGATAGTCCTTCTCCATGGCCTCCCCGAACTCCTCCCAGCTCCGAGTTTTTGCCTCCGCAACCGCACGGGCTGCAGCACGCTTGGCCCGCCGGTACCCGTCAGCTGCCTCAGGAGTCCCCCGAGCCAGCAAGGCCCAATAGGACTCCTTCTTCAGCTTGACGGCATCCCTTACTTCCGGTGTCCACCACCGGGTTCGGGGATTGCCGCCGCGACAGGCACCACAGACCTTACGCCCACAGCTCCGAGCAGCCGCATCGACAATAGAGGCCGAGAATGAAGCCCACTCGGACTCCATATCTCCAGCCTCCCCCGGAATCCGGGAGAAGTCCTCCCGGAGGTGCGAGTTGAAAGTCCCTCTGACAGAGGGCTCCGCCAGACGTTCCCAACAGACCCTCACTACACGCTTGGGCCTGCCAGGTCTTTCCGGCTTCCTCCTCCGCCAGCGAACCCAACTCACAACCAGGTGGTGATCAGTTGACAGCTCAGCCCCTCTCTTCACCCGAGTGTCCAAGACACGCGGCCGGAGATCAGATGACACGACTACAAAGTCGATCATCGACCTCCGGCCTAGGGTGTCCTGGTGCCACGTGCACTTATGGACACCCTTGTGCTCGAACATGGTGTTTGTTATGGACAAACCGTGACTAGCACAGAAGTCCAATAACAGAACACCGCTCGGGTTCAGATCGGGGAGGCCGTTCCTCCCAATCACCCCTCTCCAAGTGTCACTGTCGTTGCCCACGTGGGCGTTGAAGTCCCCCAGGAGAACAACGGAGTCCCTGGTCGGTGCACTGTCTAGTACCCCTCCCAAGGACTCCAAGAAGGCCGGGTACTCTGCACTGCTGTTCGGTCCGTAGGCCGACACCACAGTGAGAGACCTGTCCCCGACCCGAAGGCGCAGGGACGCGACCCTCTCGTTCACCGGGGTGAACTCCAACACACGGCGGCTGAGCTGTGAGGCAATGAGCAGGCCCACACCAGCCCGCCGCCGCTCCCCACGGCCAACGCCAGAGAAATGGAGAGTCCAGCCCCTCTCAAGGAGTTGGGTTCCAGAGCCCAAACTGTGCGTGGAGGTGAGGCCGACTATATCTAGTCGGTAACGCTCAACCTCCCGCACAAGCTCAGGCTCCTTCCCCCCCAGCGAGGTGACATTCCATGTCCCCAGAGCTAGTCTCCATGTCCGGAGATCCGGTCGTCGAGGCCCCCGCCGTCGACTGCCGCCCAGATCTCTCTGCACCGGCCCCATATGGCTCCTCCCGCGGGTGGTGGGCCCACGTGAGGACGGCCCCACGTCGCTCCTTCGGGCTGAGCCCGGCCGGGCCCCGTGGGGGAAGGCCCGGCCACCAGGCGCTCGCTGACGAGCACCCACCCCAGGCCTGGCTCCAGGGTGAGGCCCCGGTGACGCCAATCCGGGCGACGTAACTGGCCTCTGTGTTGCACTCATCATAAGGGGCTTCTGAACCGTTCTTCGTCTGACCCGTCCCTCCGGACCTGTTTGCCTTGGGTGACCCTACCAGGGGCATGAAGCCCCCGACAACATAGCTCCCGGGATCATTCGGGCACTCAAACCCCTCCACCACGATAAGGTGACGGTTCAAGGAGGGGAACATTAAAGTTATAAAATACATTTCTATATCTACAGAGAATGGCCACTATGTTCCTACAGATTCACACCCTGTAAAACGGTCTGGTGTTAAGACACCATCTACTACTCTGTAGATGGAATTAAGGGTGGAAAAAATAACAGTTATTAAAGTTAACCTTTTCTGACATGCGTATGCAAGGATGCACATATACTGAATGCATTTTGACAAGAAAAATGCTTAGAATGAGACCACAATGGTTTAAGGACTTAAAAACAGCAAGAGACCTTTGGACTTTTACCTGTGATGTACCAATCCTGGGAAATTGTAAACTGAATGTTTTGACTGGATTTGGGAAATAAGATTCATGAAACAAGCACAAATGGAGTTAAATACAACTCCAGATATATTTTTGATGAATGGAACAATGTTATAACATGGTTAAAATCTCCAAGAAGTCAATTTTGCATGTGTTCTTTAAAACAGAGCTGTAATTTATAGCTTCCCCATTCAGCTTCCTTATGACATTACACTGTCAGAGACCAGACCTTCTTACCTGGCTAGCCAGAAACACAACTTTAACAACATTTTACAAAGAAAAGTGGGCCTGGACCCATATTCTTTAATCCGTCAGTCATGCCCTCTGGAATCTGGAAGAAAGGATACGGGTCCAGGCCCACTTTTCTTTGTAAAGTGTTGTTAAAGTTGTGTTCTCAAAACAAACATGGTGACTTGCATGTGAAATAACAGGCCAATTATTTGTGTCTTGCTTATGAATGTTACTGTAATGTAACTGTTTTAGTATCCTGTACAAGAGTTTGATTTAATAGGACAGGGAATATATGAGCATTGTTTCAGCTGCTGTAAATGACTCAAAATATTAACCAATTTTTTTTTTTTAAATCATCATCATTTGTATATTTTGTTCTGAATGTTATGTGAGTTTCCATGTGATGTTTTCTGCATTTGAGACACAGGAAACATATTCTCAGCTGTGGTTAGATCATCCCAAATTAGGATGGAGGTTTGTAAAGCTCTTTGTTGAGATTCCACACCCTTCTGGATTTGGACAGAATGTAGAAGGAACTGTGCTAACATCACCAGCGACCACTGGAAAATCGTCCTAAAAAAACGTACCCCAGTACTTATCTGGTGCTAAAATGATGCTACATGATGTTTTGATGCCCTGCTGTTACATAATCCTAACGCTACATTCAGATCAAACATTATTTTAGATACAAGACTTGGTCATCTAGTCAAGTCCTACAACAGGATCACCCTTAACTTTAATAAACTTAATAAACACAGCGCTCTGATGATGTGGTGCCACATCAGGAACAAATGATAAGAATGTTTCATGAATGAGGCCCAATGTGTTTTACACCAAGGAATCAAGTTTTGAAAAAACATGTTTTTTTGTTTTTTTTTTCTTTTTAACTCCAGAATACGTTTTAAAATCTTTAATACCTCCTCTTCTTTCTCAACATGCTTCTTCATCAGTGAAAATTCTAAACATGTGACGCTGATCCCAAGACATCTTTAAATCCTATAAATAATCTACCTTGAGACAACTGTATCATTGCATCTTCAAGTGTGAATGGAGGAACCAGATGAGGAGATCTTCTAATCTATTGTAATGTGCACTAAAGGTTTTGTTTGTATTACTACTAAATCTCTTGATCAGGTATCTCCTCAATATGAACATGAATTGTATTTAATCCTGATTTGATTTTTGTGTAAATTTCAATTATTAATATTGACTTTACTAAAGCAGTGTTTTTGTTTCAAGGATATTTCCAATGAATTTTTCCGGCTCTGGCTCTAACTCTACTCCTGTGGTGGTGAGGGACGATCTGAAGACTGTAATAATGAAAAATGTCATCACGGTGACTCTGTGTCTGTCCATCAACTACATTAATGCTACTCTGGTTTATATCTTTATGAAGCACGAGGTCAGTTCAGTGGGATACATATTAAGATGAGAAGGATATATACTCAAAAAATAATATGAACATATTTTCATGTCATTGGTCCTTTAATGCAGGGGATGTCACAAAAGGAAATGTTATTGTTACTGTCTGAAAATAGCAATATTATTAAACACAAATCACAAGCAGTTAATCCTGACACCTCTAGTTGACGTGTTCTGAAGAATATTGTTATTATTAAATGATTTACTAATATTCCAGGTATAAGGTTATTTGTTATTCGAGCTTACATACTCAGGGCACCCATAGGTGAGCCTGTTGTCTTTCACTCCAGTTTCCTCTGTTCTCTACACACTATGAGCTCATCTTTAGATGTAACGACGGTAGTTTTCAGCAGGTTGATTTGGTTTTTGATGGTCTTCCCTTTCTCTCTGTGCCCATGATAGGGTTCTGATAGAAGGACCCTGTTTGTTACTATTTCTGGATTCTGATGGCAGTGAGATGTAACTGCTATTCTTCTACCAGCAATTTTGTTACAGACTGGTTAAAAGTCTTTTTACAGCACTGTTAAATGTGTCTTGCTATTTTATATTTTACAGTGAACTCCGTTCAGATTATTCACATGTATGTACCATCCAGTGATTTCTCCATTTGCTGTAAAAGTCTAACTCTCAGAACCAGACAAGACTGTCTGTATTGAAAGAAACTGCTGAGCTTATTGTGTTGTAACAGTAAGCAAATGTTGTCTGTGAAGTCCAGATTTATCAATACCACAGTTTGGGGTCTAGAAGACAGTTTAGGTGTGAAGATAAATCACAGTTCAGCTTTACTTATTGATGTCTTTTTTCAAAGCATAGTCCAATGCTATATTAAATAGTATCGCAATAAACTACACATGCTTTTATGTCAAAGGTCAGTACACATTCGCAATACTCCTGATTTTGTATTCTTATATATCCAATTGATAATTCTGAGAATGTTTGGAGGTACAGTATGTCATTCACTTGAAGTATTTGCAATCTGTTCCTAATATGTTGACTGTCAGATGTTATTTGAAAGTTAATGAAATTTTCTCTCAATTGAAACTATTTGTCCTACACTCAAACATGATTTTGCCTGAAATATACTATATAATTTATTTTTTTAAAACATCTGCAAAAGGAAACTAAATAAATCAAATAGTCTGAATTGAACAGTAATTTTTCTTTGTCCTGTAGATATTGAAAATGAATCCTCGCTACATCCTCGACATCCACCTGGTGATCAACGACATCATCCTGATGACACTGCTGACGCTCATTCAAGTCTTGTTGTACATAATTTACACTTTCCATGTGTGGTTCTGCATTCTTTTCCTTCTTTTATGTTTACCTGCTAATTTAAACAATCCTATGACTCTTGCCGTCATGGCCATTGAGTGCTATGTTGCCGTTTGCTTCCCTCTGAGACACTCACAGATCATTACATTTAAGAAAACCTACATTGTCATTGGCTTCATTTGGCTGATAAGTGCACAGTCTGTTCTTCCAGATGTGTTTGTCTCTTTAGCCACAGAACATCTTGGCTTTTTTCAATCTCAAGTGTTTTGTCAAAAGCCAGATATTTTCAGAAATCCTGTCTTACAGGAGAAACACAATATCATGTATGCTGTATTAATGGCCATTGTGTGGATGACTCTTATCTACACATATTTCAAAATACTTTACAGCAAAATCAGCTTCATCTGATGCTAGAAAGGCTAGAAACACAGTTCTGCTTCACAGTTTCCAGCTAAGTCTCTCCATGCTCACATATATGTACACTCCACTTATAACAGGACTGACATATTTGTTTCCTCAGAGTTTGCTCGCTATTCGCTTTGCTGTGGTCATAATAATCAATATGATGCCACGGCTTGTCAGTCCACTTGTTTATGGGATATGAGATAAAACTTTCAGGAAATACTTAAAAAAAACATTTGTTTTATGAGAAAAAAGTCAACTAAATAATAAGTAGTAAGTTATAAGCAAGATTCTTTGGACTAAAAATGTATTAGCATATTTCATAATTTAATGTGGTTATTGTCAACTCTGTCAGACACAGAAAAAGTCATAAAACTAAAAACTTACATTGTAATTTTACACTTTTATTTCAAAAGATCTAAATTTGGAAACATCTTTTTTTTCCTATTTTAACATTACATAAAATAAATTTCTGTATCTACAGAGAGAAGCCACGACATTCCTACAGATGCACTCCCTACACAATGGTCTGGTGTTAAGACACCATCTACTGGCTGTAGATGGAATTAAGACTGAAAAATTTTAAGTTAAGTTAATCTTTTCTGACATGCTTACACAAAGATGCACATTTATTGAGTCTGACAGTGGTTTATGGACTGAAAACCAGAGCAGGAAATGTCTGGACTTTTATCTGTGACGTAACAATCCTGGGAAATTGTAAACTAAGTATTTTGAGTGGATTTGTGAAATAAGATTCATGAAACAAGCACAAATGAAGATAAATAACACTCCAGATATGTTTTTGATTAAGAGAACAATGTTATAACATGGTTAAAATCTCCAAGAAGTCAGTTTTGCATGTGCACTTTAAAACAGAGCTGTAATTTATAGCTTCCCAATGAAGCTTCCTGATGACATTACACTGTCAGAGACCAGACCATCTTACCTGGTCAGCCAAAACCACAACTTTAACAACACTTTACAAAGAAAAGTAGACCTGAACCCATATCCTTTCTTCCAGATTCCAGAGGGCATCACTGACAGACGGATGAAGCAATCTGCATGGTCCGTTCATCTCCAAACTAACATGGTGACTTGCACGTAAAATAACAGGCAGATTATTTGTGTTTTGCTTATGAATGTTACTGTAAAACTGTTTTAGTATCCTGTACAAGAGTTTGATTTAATAGGATAGGGAATATATGAGCATTGTTTCAGCCGCTGTAAATTACTGAAAATATTTACCAAAAATAAAATAAAAAATCATCATCATTTGGATATTTTGTTCTGAATGTAAAAATAATTTTCATGCGATGTTTTCTGTATTTGAGACACATGAACATATTATCAGCTGTGGTTATCAGCTGTGCGTCCCAAATTACGATGGAGGTTTGTAATGCTCTTTGGTGAGATTCCACACCCTTCTGTAAGGGAAAGGACTGTACTAACATCACCAGTGACCACTGGAAAATCCAAGTAAAAAAAAAGCACCCCACTTCTTATCTGGTGCTAAAATGGTGCTACATGACCTTTTGATGCCCTTCTGTTAGGAAAGACAATCCGTCCTTGAACCGAAATGGAGGCCTCAGACATCATCTGTCTCCTATTTACAACTCCATCCTCAAACCTAAAACAAAGAGAACAATAGGAATAGCCAGGTCAGGGCCAGAGGTCTGAAAACACTTATGTGCTTGAATGATTATACTAATATGTTTCCACACTCAGTACAGATCAATAGGCCTAGGTAACAAATAGAAACTGTAAACAAGTAGGGTATTATCTTCAGAGTAGTTTCATTGTAGTTAGCTCCTCCCTGCAGGCAGATATAACGCAGTGTCCACCAGCATTCTGACCAGAACTGAAAATGCAGCTTGGATGAGCTGCAAAACGTTTTAGACCTAAATAAACATTTGTCTAATTGACAAATTGAGTTTCAGATCAAATATTATTTTAGATAAAAGACTTGGTAGTCAAGCCCTACAACAGGATCTCTCTTAAACATGATAAGCTTCATCCAACGCTCTGCTCTGGTGTTGTGGTACCAAATCAGGAACTAATCATGAGATGTTTCATGAATGAGGCTCAATGTGTTTTACAGCAAGGAATGAAGTTATCATGCAGGTAACTTGGACTCAAATGCAACACAATGCATACAAGCAAAGTCTAAGTTCAATAACAGAAAGTGTCTGATAACAGGTAATGTTTAATACGGCAATCAGACTGAAAAAAACAACAAAAGAATATAACACTTTATATGTAAACTAAAATATCCTCCAAAACTGGGAAATACTCTAAGTAGAAAATAGGCTGGGAATAAACTCCCAACAAACACAACAGGTACAACAAAAAATATAAATAATAAAGCAGAATTGCTCTAAATGCAAACGAAAGTGTTCAGATTCAGAGTTTCAGGGAAGGCTTGAGAGTGTGTCTTGACAGGTCTACAATCTAGCAAAGACTGAGTGAGTAGGAGCAGACTACCCTGGGCTGATTAGGGAATGAGAGGCTGGTGTAGGAAAAGGAGGGAGATAGCAAAAGGAGAACTGGAATGGACTGGGAAACAGAGCTGGACTGGGAAAAAACATATAAACAAAGGCAGAACTGTGACAAATCCCCCCTCTCAAGGAATGGCTCCTGACGTCCCAAAAACAAAATCCAAACATGAGTCGAAGGAAGGGACCTGGAGGAGGGTCAAAAACTATTCAGAAAGATCAGAAAATCATCTTCCAGATGAACAGAATGAGAACTACTACTGCCAGACACAGGTTCTTTGCCCTCAGATGCATCTCCCAGGGAAGCAAAAGGGACCGGACAGGAACCTAAACAGCCCTTTGAAGGTTGATCTGGATGTTCCTTGTGGAAAGCCTTAATGAGAAGAGAGTCCAAGATGAAAATGGCAGGCACCCATGAAACACTCTTCTGGACCATAGCCTTCCCAGTCAACCAAGTATTGGAGACCTTGACCACAACGTCTAGAGCACAGGACGCACTGTATATGCAGGTTCCCCATCAATCAGGCGTGTCAGCAGAGGTGGAGGCAATACAGGAGCAAGAGGGCTTTCGCAGACTGGCTTCAACCTTCACACATGGAATGTTGGATTTATACGCATGGCTGTGGGCAGCCACTGGGTTGACCATCTTGTCCATTTCAAAGGGGCCAATGACTTTTGGTTCCACCTTCTTTGAATCTACCCGGAGTGGAAGATCCTTGGTGGAGACTGGCCTAGCAGCCTCTGGCTCCTCCTCTGGCTGGATCTTGTAAACGTTTATTCTGCTTAAAAAGTAATTCTGGTCGTTCAGCGCATGTGTGTTGAATCACCCTTCTGACACGATGACAC